GAGAGAGAGAGAGAGAGAGAGAGGGAAGAAAAGGGGAGAAAGGTATTATTGAAAATGCAAATTTTCAACGATCATTAAAGTAGCAATTACTTTCAATGTTAACAGTAGTCATTCTATTTGAAGTGGTCTTCCATCGTTTCATTATTGCTAAAATTTTGAAAATTTTCTCCAACAAATAGGAAAATTAAGTCATTAACAATCAAAGTAATTAATTTCATTCGAAAAATTATGCATAGAAATATGCATAAAAAGGAAGGAAACGACTTTTTTTTCTACTTTATTATCTTTGGAAAAAAAATTTTATTTAAAATTTTAGCAAAAAAAAAATGAAAGTAAAAATTTTAAGGAAAATAAATATTATTTATTGTAAGGTAAATATCATTTATTATATTTGATAAATATTATTTATAATACCTTTTTTGTATATAATTAATTATTAATTAATTATTAAAAGAGCAAAAAATTGTTAATTTTACACGGTCAATATAGCTATGTTTTATTATAAAATAATTATCCTGGCTATAATAATATCCATTAGGTACGATGAAATTATTCTATTAAAAAAGAAAAGAAAAAGCTAAAAAACGAAAAAACAAGTTAATTAATTAAATCCATTTCTGAATTTTTTTTTTTTTTGAAAAGAGAATTTAAAAAGGAAAATTGTTTGTTTTTTTTTTTAATAAAAAAGAACAAATACGTCCTTATTATGAAACAAAATTAATTAATTATTAAAAAGGAATACAATAATTATAGCTGTGCATTAAATTTTTATCATTTTTTAAAATTATTACTAATAAATAGCTTTGGAATTATGCAATAAATTTTTAAATTTTATCAAAAGATAAAATTTAATATTTGCTCGTTTTTCGTTTTTTTTTATCAAAAATCACGATAACAATGGGATATTTCAGTCTTTTTTTGATTTTATCACTATTATACTGGTATTATTGATATAATGATCTTTGAGCTTTGTAATTTAAGAAATCATGATTATTTCATATCACTCCAATTTTTTTAAACAGTTTTCTCAGTATTATTTATTACTTTAAATTAATAACTTTTTTTTTTCTTAGACCCTGTGACAGGTAGTTTTGAAGAGACAATACTTCCTATCTTTTAGGTGATATAGTATTGTTAAAAATTATTTTAAAATTATAATTGCTTAAAATTTCATTTCATTGAATTGATTTATCGATCGATCATTTGAGTAGCTTCATAATATTTATCGTGATCTTTGACCTTCACTATCCAAGTACTCATACATTATCCCGGTAATATTCATTAGATACTGATATGATATCCTATCAAAATACAAGCAAATGAATTAAATAATCATTTAACTAATTTTCTTCCTTTTTTTTCTTTCTTATAAATAATGGAAGAGAAATTTAAACGAGTTGTTTAAATTTTTTCATTGATTTATCGATTTGGTAAACTTTATGGGATTTTGCTTTTTTATTTTGATTAAAAATTTTTAGCCTTTTTTGAAATTAGGAACAAATTGAAGGAATCATTTAAAGAAATTGCGGTAGTTTCATTTGGTCAAGCAAAAGTTTGTAAGAATTTTTAATTAAATTCTTTACAAAAAAAAGGTTATTCTATTTTATATTTAAAATTACGTACCATTTTGCTATCGAACTTCTAGTTTTTTTTTTTTTAAATTCCAGTATAGGATAGTAAAAATTATGAAAATAATGAGCAATATTTTCAGAAATTTGCCTTATTTCAAGTTTTTCATGATCAATTTTAAAATTTTAAAATATTAAAATTCAAGTTCTAAAAGAGATTTGAATTTTCAAAATTATATTGAAGAATTGTATAAATCTTTATGGATTAAATATTGATAAGTATAATACTTTTTAAGAATGCAACGATCCTCACAAATCAAATTTGAAAAAAAAAATATAATTAAAGATTGAAAATGATTACTGATAATCCAGCAATTAGTATCTGTGCAATAAAAAAATTTCATTAAATTAAATGACTAATTAGATTTCTAATTTCCCTTTTGATTAAAATTTATCATATTTTTAATCTTTTAGATATTATTTAAATAAGTTAAATAACTAATTGGATTTCTAATTTCCGTTTTGGTCAAAATTTGTCATATTTCTAATCCCTTAGATATTATTTAAACTCTTAAATCATTGTATATTTGAAATTTATGTTAAAAGTATTTCACCATTCAAAATTAAAACTAATTAAGGTGACAATTAACTCATTAAAAAGAATTTGATTTTTAGCTATGTTGCTCAAGCACCATTTACTACAACTTGGAATGATGAGCACCGCATTCAGCATGACAATTTCGCCTCATCAGGATTTGATAATCAGTTAGGTGATAATAATGGTGTTGGTGGTAATAATAATATCATTGGAACACAGCCACGGTATTTTATCAATTCTTAATTAGCTTACTCACTAATTAAACAGTACAATATGTTTTATTTCATTTAACAATCATTACACAACTAACAAATTGTTAGCAACAAATAATTAGCCTTTTTGTTGATAAATAAACAAATAAATAAATAAGCAAATAAATAAATAATTTGGAGAAAAAGAATTGTAATTTGAAATATGAATTAAATATTTGAAATTAAGTAACAACAGGGATTCAACTTTTTTTTTCTGGTGGGTAATAAGAAATTTGAAAAAGGAAACGAAATTTTGGATTATTTTAAATGAAAATTAAGTATTTAAATTTATTAACAATAAGTAATTTACCTCTTTTTTTGGTAGCTGAAAAATTTAAAATTGATAATTGTACAAAACTAAGTGCAATATTTACCTTTTTTTTTGAATTACAATAATTTTAGATCTGTTTTTGTGACTTTTTTTTGAAATAAAATTTAATTTTAGAAGAAAAGGATGACAAATTTTGTTACAGTTTAATTAAAATTTATAAAAAAGAAATATTAAAATTAGCATAAATTTTTATTCTTTCAATGGAAAAAAAATTTTTTTTTTTGATAATTTCTTATGATTTTAATTATACTTTTTAAAAAATAACTAAAATAATGAATTATTTCCCAAAAAAAAGTTCATAAATCTAAGAGATAAAATTTCGAAATTTTTTTATGATTTTAAAAAAAAAGAAAATCATTATGCTGATCATATTTCACCTTTTTTCTTTTTCATCCTTTTCTTTCACTTACCTTATCACTCCTCTCTCTTCCCCCGCATTATCACACCTCTCTTTTCCCCCGCATTATCACACCTCTCTTTTCCCCCGCATTATCACACCTCTCTCTTCCCCCGCATTATCACACCACTCTCTTCCCTCCCCCCCGCATTATACCCCTTTCTTCTCCCTTATTATCACTTCTCATTTCTTCCCTTGTTATCACTCCTCCTATCTCAGCTCATTATCGTTTCTCTCTTACATCCATATTAATTTTCATTGACATTTTTCTTAAACATTTCATTTTATGAATGTATTGATTACAACTTACTTGAATGATTAACAAAAAAAAAAAAAAGAAAGGTAAATGATTTAACAGAATGCAATTATAAATAAAGATATTTAAAATTTTTAGATTTTATCCCGGTCAATGGGGTTCATGTTCAACAACATGTGGTCCCGGTGTAGCGACACGTACAGTTGAATGCATAGCTATACAAGGAATAACCTCAAATATTATTAAACTGCCAGATTATGAATGTGAAGGTTAAGAAAATTTTAATTTACTTTTAATTTTTACAAAAAAAAAATTAATTTTGATAATATAAATGTAAATTTAAGGTAAAACAAAACCAAATGCATTTCAACCATGTCAAATACAAGAATGTGCATTAAATGATATCGCTAATAATGATGTACCTGTACGTGAACGTTCTTTAATATCAACAAATTCTTTTAAATGGGATTATGGTGATTGGACAGTTTGTTCTGCTTCATGTCTTGGTGGTATCATTTACAATCATTTTTAAATGTATAAGATTGCTATAGATTTCATTAAAAATTATCACTGATAAGAAATTAGGTTGATAAATGATTTAAAATTATTTCTTAAGATTGTAAAATTAACATAGTTTGTTAAAATTTTTACAGGATAAGAAAAAAAAAATCAAGCTGATAATTTATTTATCTGAAGTTATTTTTATGCATTTGGATAATATTTTATATCAAGATTGATGTAACTTGTTATTTTTATAAAATGAAAGAAAAAATGTAATAAGTGTATTTACTATTGATAAGCAATCAAATTGATAATCAATCTGCTAATGATAACATTTACATAGATTACCGAATATTGTACATATTGGCAGTTCTAAATTTTGAATTTTTTTTTGTTTTTTAATGATTGAAAAATCAATTAGATAATTTGATGCTTTTATTTTATAACATTTATTAGATTTTTTAGCCTGGAATTTAACAATTTTAATTTTAGGTAAACAACGTTCCACACTAAAATGTGTTGACATTAAAAGACGTACCGCTGTTGCATGGTCATTTTGTGATGCGAAACAGCGCCCTGTTGATTTAATACGTTCTTGTAATAATGACCCTTGTCCACCTGAATGGGATGTTAGTTTTAATTTTTATCAGTTAATTTCGTTTTTTATTTCTCTTGCAAAATACTTTATAGCATTTTGAAAATGTTCCCTAATGATATATTGTAATTTAATTAATAATAGTATTTTGGAATAAATATTATTAAAATTTTAATTCTTATGTCTTGTAATTAAATGAATAATTAGTAATCACAACAAAATGAATGTTAAATTAACAAAGTTTTGTTGAAAAAATTAAAATCTCTTTGAGATTGAATTTAATTCTTTTAGGTTGGTGAAATGTCACAATGCTCACATACATGTGGAGGTGGATTACGTACTCGAAAAGTTTGCGCATCTTATTTTATTAAATTTGTCAATGGCTTGAATTATTTAAATTTTATTATTTTATATTTTCCAAATATTATTATTATTTAAATAAATAACATTTTATAATTTCAAAAAAAAAGGAAAAACTTGGTTATTGAAAGCAATTCCTGTATCATTTTAATACTATTTCGGTATCTTTTCATCCCATAATAATTGATTAATGAATGTTTATTAGATAAGCTGCAATATCTAGGTGCGTTGCATACGTCGTATATCACGGACTGGTGGTGCTGAATCAACATTAATTCTACCAGACGGTCAATGTCCACAACCAAAACCGGTCAATAGTGAAGCATGTGGTTTGGTAGACTGTCCCGTTATGTGGAAGGTTATGTTTTCCTTTTATCTTTTAAAAAAAGATTCAAAGTATTTTAATTGTTCAAAGTCATAAGTCCGGGATTTTTCAAATGAGCTTTAGCAGTGATAATGGTAGGATTTTTTAATTGATAAATTAAAGAAATTTCATTTTATCTTGATCTTATTAATTTAGATTGGTAATTGGGGTCAATGTTCAACAACTTGTGGTCCTGGTGAGCAACGTCGTGAGGTGACCTGTGAGCAACGTGTAGCTGATGGTGAACTGAAAAGCTTTTATCCTCCAATACAATGTCGTCATATCGAAAAGCCACCAACTGTCCAACTTTGTGATTTAGGTAAATCAAATATTCAATCAAATTTTATCTCATTTTATAAATGATTCAAATGCAAATCTAAGTGTAAATTTAATCCAAACTAAAAATAGTAATAAAGCTAATGAAATAAATGAATAAGACTTCAAGACTTAACAGGCTAAATGAACAAGCTTAACATGATTGTATGTTATATTAAAAGCTCAAGCAAATGTGATAAAAATGAAATTATCAAATAAATTGAAAGCATGGAAGGGAAAAAAAAATATTTGATAAATAAATTTTGTCAGGTACATGCAACAGTATGTCTGATTCGATATTTCAAGAAAGTGATAATGATAAGTTTTCATCTCTGATGTCAACTTCGATGCAACAACAACATAGTGGACATAGCCGAAAGTTGACACTAAATATAGGTGGTAGTGCAAAACTATTTGTTGGTACATCATTGAAGGTATGTGATGAAAAGGAAACTTATTAATTGGCTAATTTTCTGTTGAGTAATTAATTCGATTCATAGCAGCAAAATTATTTTATATAATTCATTGTCAGAAATATGTAAAAGAACGTAAGTCAACAGGTGGATATTGATATTGTTGGAAAGGTTAATTGGATGTATTACTGAATTAGATATAATCAAATACCTACTGAATTAGATAGTAATTGGGCATGTTACTTAATTGGATATGTTATTAAATTAGGTATAATTACTTGTAGCGTTGCTATATATTGTTAGATAAAATACGAATTAGCCAATAATTAAGCTATGATTTTTTTTTCGTTTTTTTTTCGGTTACTCATAATAAAAGAGCCTTACATTAAAACAAGCCTAAGCAAAGATTATCAGTGAGATGGAGACATTTTTTTTTTAGTCTATCATAACATATTGTTTATTTATAGTATTAATATTGGCATTACTTTTCTTTTCGCATATGAAAAATAGACGACATAATTGAAAAATAGACCTTAATTACTGTAAAATTAATATAAACAATTTCAATCTTACAAATAATGATTAACACTATAATTTAGATTTATGCACTTTGAAAAAAAATATTGATGTATTTAGGAAATCTCGGGAAAAATCGGAGTAATAATTATACGGTACATTTTAGGTTAAATGTCCTGTTCGTAATTATGCAAAAATAAAATTATTTGGACAAAAGATGGAAAAAAGATTACGAGCAATGGTAAATTTTCGACTTAAATAAATTTATAATATAAAGTTTGTAAAATTAAATAATTGAAATAGAATTTGAAAGATTAAAAAAAGGAAATGATACTCGAATTGAATTATTACAGCAATTTTTATTTTACGTTTCATTTTTCCTTTTTTTGATTTGTTTTTTTCTAGCTCACATTAAAGTATCATCAAACGGCGCATTACGTATTTTTCACGCACGAATGGAAGATGCTGGCGTATATGCTTGTATAGCTAATGGTATTCAAGGAAATGTCACGTTAAGTTTTAAATCACGTGAAAATAAAGTACGTGTATTTTTACTTACCTTTTGCGTCATATTTAAATTTTCGTTTTTTTTTAAATGATTAATTGAAAAGAAATATTAAAAAATTTATTTAATATAATAATTTCTTCTTCTTTTTGCATTTTTTTTTATTTTTAGGACGAAAATATAAATGATTCCCGTTCAATGTTAAATCAAAATATGATTGATAATGATATAGAAAATGATCCAGTTGCTGTTGATCAACAACTATTACAGGTGTTTTTTAAATTAACAAAATCAATTCCAACTAATTATTTTGGACATTTTTGTTTTTTGTTTTTTTTTTATCTTAATTGCAATTTTAATTTTAGATTGGAATTGAAATACAAATGCATTAAATCGATTTTTTTTTCTGAAATATTTGAATTCAGAAAAATTTTGTGTTAACTGCAATCAAGTTTTGAAATATTTACAAATTTGATTTGCATTATGATTTATATGCAAATTTTTGCATAAATGAATTTCTTTTTATTTCAAAATTTCATCCATCCTGTAATATTGAAGTGTTTCAGAAAGTGCGACAATCATTGAAAGATAATGAAGATATTCGAATGTTAGAAAGATTAGCTGCAGTAACTGAACCAGGTGATATCAAGGTAACATTTTCAATAATTATTATTTGATATTTTGAATTTTTGATAAAATTATAAAATTCAGATTGATTATGCTGCTGGTGAATGGTCAAAATGTTCCAATTATGATTGCGGCAAATCAGGACGTGCGCAGGTAAATACATCGAAGTTTTTCCTCCTGTTTTTTTTTCTACC